AAGCAATGAAAATGGAATGTTTGAAGACAGCTATCACGTGGTCCCAAGGCTTCTCTTCTGATCTACACATACCCATTTCCTGTGACCAATCAGCCTGATCTCTTCACAGCTAAGGCACTTACCTTCCTCTTTTCATCTAATCACTGTGTATCTTCAAATGAATACGATTGTGTTAAATGCTCCTAGAACCATAAGAGTAAAAGCAAGCATGTGGGACTACAATCTCCTGTGTGTAACAGCATGTGAACAATTTTTTACTTCTGAAAAGGATGTTAAAGAACCACAACTTTCCAATTCATATATTTAGGCCTGGAAGAGACCTTTACAGCCTAATGTGCTCATTTTACAAATTAGAAAAATTAGGCCCAGAGACAGAAAGTGATTTGCTTAAGGTCAAACGGGAGAAAATAGTAGATGTGCACTTTGAGCCCAGTCCCTTCTGGCTTCAACCAGGGCTATTCTCACTGTACCACCTTGCCACTCCCTTTCTGTATAAAGAGATTCTGCACAAAAACATTCAAAAGAGCACTCTTTGGGGCAACAAAGAACTGGAAACAAAATGAATTCTTGCTAGTAAAGGAGAACTAGGAAAAATATAGCATATGAATCACACTGTCATTTACATAGGTAAAAAGGACAAATATGAGGAATTCTGACAAGCATTGGAAGATATGTATTAACTGACACAGTGTAAAATAAGCAAACCCAACAGAAAATGATACACAAAATTACAAAAATACAGTTTTTAAAAAACAATGAAAAAGATGTTGAACCATGAGTAACTGAAAAAAAAGTTGAACATATTACTTATCAGCCTTATGGATAGATGAACAATTTTAAGAGACAGACAGCAAAGCCATGTATAAAATGGACAGTTTCAATTACATTAAATTAAAAAGGTTTTGTATAAATAAAACAAATAAAGCCAAGATTAGAAGGAAAGCAGAAAATTGGAGGGAAATTTTAATAGACAGTTTATTACATGAAGGTCTCACATCTAAAATACATACAGAACTTTGTCACACGTATAAGAATACAAATCATTCCCCAACTGATAAATGGCCAAAGGCTATGAACAGGCAGTTTTCCAACGAAGAAGTCCAAACAATTTACAGTCATATAAAAAATGCTCTAAATCACTGCTGATTAGAGAAATATAAATTACAATAACCTTGAAATATCATTTTACACTTACCAGATTGGCTAAAACAACAGAAAGGGAAAGTAACAAATGTTGGAGAGGATGTGGAAAAACTGGGACACTAATTCATTGTTGGTAAAACTGTTAAAGGATCCAATCATTTGAGACCAATCTGGAATTATGCGCAAAGAGTTATTAAACTACCTATACGCTTTGAACCAGCAACACTGCTATGTGATCTATCTCCAAAGATGATTAAGGAAAAAGGAAAAGAACTTATATGTTCTAAAATATTTATAGGAGCTCTCTTTCTGGTGGGAAAGAACAGGAAATTGCAGGGATGCCCATCAACTGGGGAATGACTGAAGAAATTGTGGCATATGGTTGTGATGAAAGACTACTGTTCTACAAGAAATGATGAGCTATATAACCTTAGAAAAACATGGAAAGAGTTGCATGATAAAAGAACAAAAAAAGAGCAGAAGCAAGAGAACACTGTATACAGTAAAAACATTACTGTTTTAAGAATGCCTTTGAATGAATAAGTTATTTTAGCTATTACAAATACCCAAATTAACTATAAAGGACATATGAAAAAAGATGCTTTCTGCATCCAGAGAAAGAACTGATGAATTGAAGTATGTATACAATGACTTTACTGAAAACTGAAGGCAAAGTAGAGAAGAAAAAGAGAGAGAGATAGAAGGTTCGGTGGTGTAGGGAAAGGAGTATTCAGAATGCATGCCGTCATGGGGTGGGGGGAGGGACAAGATGGGGAGAAAATTTGGAACTCAAAATCTTGTGGAAGTGAAGGTCGAAAATGAAAATTGAATAAATTAATTAAAAAAGATTTTACATATATATTACACACACACATACACACACAACTATTTTTGTCTAATGATAGCCATCTCTAAGGTAGAAGGGGGATGGGAAAAAATTTACATGATAAGTTTAATATACATTTGAAAGGAATAGCAAGTAGTACATAATCGATTTGCAGTTTCATGTACAAACGTCTTTTTTATTATACTGTATGATTGAAATGTCTTAGTTTTATTTAATAAATTAAAAAATTTACCACTTCTGACAGTAGAGAAGATGGAGACCACCGGAGGAGAATGTTTTATGAACTGTCAGATAAAAGTCACTATCACTGCTACGTTTGTGTGACTACTTCTTTGGTACAAAGGAGATCAAATTTGGAAGGTGAAGGAAAGAAGTCTTTTTCCAGCAATGACGGTGGCGAAATAGCACAAAGCCTTATAGAAAAAATAACTGGTCTCTAACCATTCATTCCTTACACTGATGATCCAGTCTCTGTTCCAATACTGTATGTCCCCTTTAAATCTCCTCAGGGAAGCCTGCTCTCCAGCCACAAGCAGTCCTCAAACATAGCTGTTTGCCAGCATAACAGTAGGCTGACATCATGTCTCTTCTGGATCCATCCATAAGCTAAAAGAGCCAATTAGCTCAGGGGCTGTGGCCTCGACTGGAGAATTAACCATAATTGTTTCAATTGCTATGTACATTCAGTCTCCCTTGATAAGCTTTTTCACACAGATGGGCTTTAAAAAAGGACCATTCTTTGGCCAATGGTCGTTTTCGGCAATAAACATTTGGAAAATTCTTCACAAAGGTAAAGAAGATCACTTCATATTCTAGGCTGGCGACTTTAGCTTCTGGTGAGCCAGTGATTCAACCCCTTTCTTCCAAGAACAAGGATCCAAAAAGACTTTCAGAAGTTAGAAGAATGGGCTGAATCTAATAAGATGGGACCTAGGAAGGATCAATGTAATCTACATTTCTGGCCTGAGGAATTAATGGAAGTTTAACTTCAGGACAGTGGAGGACAAGTTATTCTCCTACTTATAAGTGGGTGGCATGTTGCTATTAAAAACAGCTGAATGGCTTTGTCTGGGGATCCAATGTGCATGAAGCCATTGTGACAGTTTTGGTTACGAGTTTGTATATGAAGTCTAAGACAATCTACTAAATAATAAGAAAATGATAAGAATGTCTCATTATTTTAACTACACTGGTGCCCTGGTTTACCAAACCAAATACACAAAGTGTTCATTTGAAACACGAAACTCATTTGATCAATAAGACAATGATTATTTGCATTAACAAAAGAATTCATCTGTTACATGAATGTATAAAAGAAGACTTACCTTTATGAAAGGATATACGGCCAAGGTCCAATAAACTTCTCGAACGTATTTCAAATACGATCTGATTAACACAACTTTTCATGATCATGACAATGGCATTACAAAAGGTAAAACAAAATAACTACTCTTTAGTTTTCTCCCCTTTAGGAAAGCTCCTACCAAGGGGGAGGGCCCTGAAGTCGGAAATTATCTTTCAATTGGAAGGAGTCAGAATTTTTTTTTTACATTTAGCTCCAAAAGCTTAGCATAATTATTAAGAATTAGAAATCAGAAATAAATGACACCAAGTCATTTATTCAGTGTAATTTCTGGTAAAACAATAGTTTCTCTTTTAGAAAAACAAGGCTATCTCTTTCTGTATTAATATTGGCATCTGGAAAAATCAGGTTTTGCACTAGCTACACACAGAGGACTGTGAAATTTAGCCTACTCAAAAGGAGTGTTGGTGGTGGTTGTGGAGATTAGGGGAAGGGAGCACATGCATAGCAACAAAAAGAAGTGGGTAAAAAGCATGATATTTTTGTGTTAAAAAATTCATTTGGTGAAAGCTTAAATAGATTCCATGTTCATAAAACGTTATCTTTGAGCAGGTTAAACTACCTGTTTTATTTATGCTGGGGTCAGAAGGACCCTGAATTATTTAAAACTATTTAAAGAATGGTATCGTGGCATTATAGCTCACATGGGTCCAAAGACCCATGGGGCATTCACACTTGCACTGGACACCAGCAGCTATCTTAAAGAAAAGGCCATCGTACTTAGAGGGGCAGGAAAGGAGGAGGCCACAGAATTATCCTAGCACAGAAAATCTTAACTTGCTTGAAAAGATCAGTTCCCAGAGGGCAGTAAAATAGCCAAGGAACTTGGTTTACTAAGAGAATATCTGTTCCTTTACGATGCTTTAAAATAGAGCAACCAAAAGAAATAAAAAAAATAAAAATAAACAAGAGCAACCCTGAGAAAACTTCCTAGATGATTTGTATATCTTCTGGAGAACTGTCTTAACTATTCCTATCTAAAGAGGATTCTAAACCACTGAAATCTCTCATAATGAAGTTAAAGCCCACTGAATTATATTGTAGGATGACACATTCAGAACTATCCGGGATCTCAGAAGTCATCTATTACAACCTCCTAATTTTGCAGATGAAGAACTGAGGTCAGAGAGGGTGAACAATTTCCTCAATTTCACATAAAGAGCAAGTATCAGAGCCAGGAATCAGACTCAGGTCCTTTGAATACAAAAACGTCAGTTTCTACCATTCTACATTGCTTCTTTTCAGAGGAGATAATTGGACAGAATAGGATTTGCTTAATATGAAAGCTTGAATGACTGTATGCAAATAAGCATGTGTTTATAGATAATTCACGTGTATGAGGACACCTAGATTGCTCAGTGCATACAGTGGTGGGCCTGGAGTCAGAAGACTCATCTTCCTAAGTTCAAACCTGGTCTCAGACACTCATAAACTGCGTGACTGTAGGCAAGTCATTTCACCCTGTTTGCCTCAGTTTCTTCCTCTGTAAAATGAGCTAGAAAAGGAAATGGCAAACCACTACAGTATCTCCGCCAAGAAAACCCCAAATGGGGTCAAGAAGAGTTACACATAATTGAAAATGACTGAACAAGAAACTTATGTGTACACATGTAGCATTCTAAATAGGTATATACACAGACAAGTATGTCAAGGTTCACGTATTCTATGTTTGTTTCCAGATCTTTATCTAGCAAGTGCAAAAACCTATCAATGGTTTAGAGTACAAGTTTATTTTCAAAACACAGGAAGACTGTAACAAGCAAAAAAAAATCATGAGGCTGGGAAGTGGGAAAAGGAAGGTTACAGAGCTTAGGATATGTCCCATGAACCCAGCTGGAGAGGCATAAAAACATGTGTGAAATGGATCAGATCTGATCCATGATGATGCAGCTAACTCTCAAATGCAAGCCTTCTCACATACAAGCTAGTCTTTTCTTTGTACTTTGCTGCCTCTTCACTCTCTAGTTTAATTCATTTCAACAGAGCATTTACTGAAACAGGAAATGTGAATCAAGAGCTTGAGCCTTAAACTCTTGTTTTACATTACACAAAAAGGCATGATGGGGTACCAGGTAGGAGGCATGCCCATACCCAAAGGGATTCTTCTCATCATTCCTCCTCCAGTCTAAAGAAGGAGGACCACCCTTAACAAAAATCTCTTTTCTAGCACTCCAGCTTACCCCTCCACATTGGGGGGGCAAAAGATAGGCAAAATCCTTCCAATAACAACTCACAGGCAGGCAAAACAAACTCCCACATTGGTCACGACCAAAGTAGGAGGAAAGCTGAGTATCCCAGAATGCATGCTTTTGAATTGTGGAGCTGGAGAATATTTTTGAGAGCCCCTTGGAAAGCAGGGGTCAATCTGTCAATACTTAAAGAAATTAATTCAGACTATTCACTGGAATGTCAAGTATAAAAGTCAATCACATAAATGTCAGAAGCTGGGTAGCATATTTCATCAGGAATCCTCTTGAGAAAAAGAATGGTTGGTCACTGTGCTGATCAGAATTTTTAAATCTTTCAAAGTGGTTTGTCTTTACAATGTTGACATTGGATAAATTTTTCTCCTGCTCTGCTTACTCTATTCTGCAGTGATTCATACAAGGCTTCCTTGGGTTCCACGAAAAAGCTCCTTGGGGGACTTCTTATAGTACAACATTTTCCCATCATCGTTGTATACCACAATAATACCACAAACGATGGGAATCTTCTCAGTTTCCAATTCTTTGCCACCACAAAAAGAGCTGCTATCAATGCTTTTGTACATGTGGGTCATTTTCTCTTTCTCTGATCCCTCTGAACCTAACAGTAATATCGCTGGGCCAAAGAGAAGGTGCACACTTTAGTAACTGTCTCAGCATTATTCCAAAGTGCTTTCAAGAATAGCTGCTCCAAGTTGTAGATCCATCAACAGTGGAGGGGGGGGGGCGCATCTCAAGTCTTGCTGATCTATATCTTGCCACTGGACTCAACTGGCTTCACAGGAGAAAGTCAGGGTAGTGACCTAGTGCAGCCCTCCCTCACTTAAATCCAATTCATTTGCAAGTCAAAGCATCCTCTTCTAGATGACCTGGCACTCTTCAGAATGAAGGACAAACAATAACCTGTAAGGAAGTAGTCTGAGCTGCCTCACTGGGGACCCAACTGGCCTCCACTAGAGCAACTAAGCTCCTTCCTCTCCTCTCCTCTCCCTGTGTCCACATGGGCTATCATGCCCTTGGGATTTACTGGCTAGACTTCTTTCTTAAAGATAATGCCTTAAATCCAATCCACTCTGGCTCTCCTGGCTCTCTTGGGCCAACAATAGGTCCCAGCCCAAGTACTACTTGTGGTCATTCTTTGGGCTCCAGTAGCTCAGGGTAAATGTAAATAGAAAACTGTTTCTGTTCTGGCCAGAAACCCAGAGGGTCTTCCCTTTTCAGAATGATTTTATTTATTTTTTGTCAGATAAAAGGGACCGTTCCTCCTCTCATTGCTTTTTTTTCCTTTTTGGCTAGGCAATGTGGTTAAGTGATTTGCCCAAGGTCACCCAACTAGTAAGGGTTGTGTGTGAGGTCATATTTGAACTCAGGTCCTCCTGAATCCAGGGCCACTGCTCTATCCATTGAGCCACCTAGATGCCCCTCCCCCCACCACCTCTCATTTCTAAACCAGCCTTAATCACTGAATGGGGCTTTGCCTCAAAGTGAGAATTCCTGAAGACTTTAGCTTCAAACGACAAAGGTCTCCCACTGCATCCCATCTCCAGTCTTCCTCATCTATATCTTACCCTTGGATCCCTAGGGGTGATGAGAACCAGACCCTTCAAAGTTAAAGACCACCTCTTTGAAAGCAACCCTGTCCCTGAATTGTCCCATTCATTTCAGCAGCCCAGATCACTGGCCAAACCAGCCAACCTAGATTACTTAAAAAGCTTACTTGACATTTCTTTCACCTGGCCCAGCCCAGACTGTTTACCACACACCTTAATCCCACCCAGATCCTTTCATGGTCCTCTTTATACTTGTAAGAATCAGTCTCTGGTCCTTCAATGAAATAGGGGACTTTCAAGCATTCCTGAGGAAAAGACCAGAGCTGAACATAAAATCTGACTTTCAAATACAAGACTCAAGTGAAACACGGAAGAGGTAAACAGGAAAGAGAAATCAGAAGAGACTTATTAAGGTTGAACTGTTTACACTGCTGCAGGGAAAGATGATATTTACAACTCATGAATCCTTTGTCAGTATTAAGGTAGTGAGAGGGGAAAAAATACACATGTATGTATAGATAGATAGAGGGCACAGGATGAGTTGAAGATGAAGGGGTGATATCTGGAAAATAAAATTAAGGGGTGAGAGAGGATTACACTGGGAGAAGGAGAAAGGGAGAAGTAGAATAGGGTAAATTATCTCACATGAAACAGACAAGAGAAGGCTTTTACAGTGGAGGGGAAATGAGGGAAGGTGAGAGGGAATGAGTGAATCTTACTGAGTGAGATAGATGAAGTTTTTCCAGTACTAAAACTTATAAATTCCCTTTGTACCCCGAAAGCAGTAAAACTTGATGAATTTGCAAACATTTGCAATGCATTAAGCAAGAGCTGACCTGTGTTCCAATTCCCCTAGCAAGATAAACATTGGGAAAAATTGCTAGCTCAACCACCAGAGGCTTCCACCTTATCTGTCTCTAGGCAGAACCTTTAAATAGTTATGAAAAGTCTTCCTGATCCTTTGTCTCTAGGTAACTATTTCCAAATAAGGATAGTAGTGTACTAAGGGTCTTATAAAGCCACGTTTAGATTGTGCACCCTAAAACCCAGCCAATGGGAGGAAGGGTTCAGGAGTGGGGAGGGTGCATTGCATTAGGACTATAAAATTTTGTTCCCCACTAACAGACTTTGCACTGCCCGGCTGCCACTGCTTGAGCAAGGAGGGCTATGCCCTTTCTCATGAGAAAAAAATAAAACCTCTTCTGATCTCTGATTCAGCCTCTGAACTTTTAATTCTAGTGTGGCCATTATCCCACACATTATTCTCATAGGATTTGCCTTAAGGAGGGAAAAACATACACAATGGGGTATGGAAATCTATCTTACCCTACAGGAAAATATGGGGGGAAGGGGACAAGAGAGCAGGGGGTTGATAGAGGGGAGGGCAGATTGGGGGAAGGGATAATCAAAAGCAAACAGTTGTGAGGAGGGACAGGGTCAAAAGAGAGAATAGAATAAAAGGGGGTAGAATAGGATGAGGGAAAACATACTTAGTTTTTCACAACAAGACTACTGTGGAAATGTTTTACATTATTACACATCTAAAACCTCTATCAAGATGCTTGCCTTTTCAATGAGGGTGGCTGGGGAGGAAGGGAGAGAATTTGTAACCCAAAGTTTTAAAAAAATATGTTAAATGTTTTTTTAAAAATCATATTTGTAAAAAAAAAAATCAGTCTGACCCCATAAAGTTGCAGGACCCAAAGAATCTTGCCTTACAATAAACCTTGTCTTATGACTGAAGAAGGTTTCAGTGTTTCATTCCATTTTGGGGTTGCCAGCAACCCAAACCACAATCAGAAATGTTTTGCATTACTTCATCTGCAAAATGGGTACCTTGCTGCTTCCCTTTTGGAGAGAAAAAAAGAAATTGAAACTCAAAATTTAAAAAAATAATAAAGAGTATTTTTTTATGGGGAGATGATAAATCAGTCTCCATGGTGTCATTCAGTTCTAAATATGATTCTCAGACGCCCACAACTTCTAGCGTTACAGCATAGGACAAAGAAACTTATCCCACGGTCTCTGGCCTGAGACGTTATTTCAGGAAAGCTGCAAGTGGCACTCACCTTCCCCGGCCTGGCTGTCAGGGCAGGAGCCATTCCTTCTTCCTCTAGGCTGTCCTCCTGGGGCAGAGCAGAGGCCACAGAGGGGAGAGCTGGGGAGGAAATGAGAAGCAGGAGAGTGAGGGGTCACGCGGGGGGGGTCTGCCCTGCTCAGACCAGACACTTCTCCACTGCAGGGTGATCAGGGAGGGGGCCAGAAGGAAACCTTCATTTCTCTCCGGGGCGGGGGAGTCTGTCTGGGGGCCAGCATCTCTTTAGAGACAAACTAGAGGACACACAGGTGACCCTTTCAGCACGAGGAGGGCACGGGGCCCAGGCAGCATCAGGGAGGGCTTCCCGGAGGAGGCGCTAGCCAGGAGGATGCTGGGAGGAGGAGGTGAGGCCACCGGAAGTCCGCACCGAGGATCAGACAGAGTGACACCGGGAGCACCTTCCCTGGGACTCTGGGCCCAGGACAAGGTCTGAGGCCTGGAAGGGCAGGCCCTGACAGGGGCCACGGGATACGGGCGTGACTTAAGGAGGATTAGAACCCGCCCTCAAGCTCCGCCTCCCCCTGCTTGGCCTCAAACTCCCGCCCCTCCCCCCGCACGGGCCGCCACCAGACCCCTGGGAGGCCCTCGGGGGCTTCCTTCCTCCTCCGCCGCACGCTCCTCCCATTCTCCGGGTGCTCCCCAGCCAGTCCCCGGTACTCCGACCCCGCTGCACCCCCGCACCGGCTCCGCCTGGGCCCGGCCCCTCTCACCCCTTCACACTGCAGCCCCGAACAGAGAAAGGCAAGCGGGAACCAGCGAGCGTGGAAGAGGCGGAGAGAAAAGGAAGCGGAAGTGTCGCACTTAGACGGAAGTCCCGCCCCCCCTTGAGCTTGGAAAACACTTCTTTTGCGAGCGTGGCCTTCTGGGAATCGTAGTCTGACAACTGACAATACAACTGACAACACAGTGAAGACCTCCATTTTTATTTTTATTTTTATTTTGTTTTCTCTTCAAGAATAGGAAAGTCTGTCCTTCGGAGAAGGGATTAGACGTTTCCTGTTGTTCCTAGAGGGCAAAAGCTAAGGCTCAGCATGCAAACGGTGCCCTGAGCTTGTATGGATGATGATTTGTGTGGGTTTAGATTACATCCTGAAACTGCTAAAGTTGTTAAAAGTTTTAGTTTCTTAATTGAGACTCTCAAGGTTTTTCAAAGTATACCATCGTATCATCTGTTTATTCCTTCAGTTTCTTTTTCATATCTTACTGCTAAACCAACCATTTTCCAGTACAATATGGGAATTGGAATGGGGTTAATGGACATCCTTGCTTTACCCTTGATCATATTGGAAAGGCTTAGAGTTTGTCCTCATTATACATTATGCTTATTTTTCATTTTAGAAAAATTCAAGTTATCATTTTAAGAAAAGTTCCATTTATTTCTATACATTCTACTGTTTTTGACACTCATGGGTACTGCATTGTGTCAATACCTTTTTCTACACCTATTGATAGCATCTTCTTCTTATGCTCAATTATGGTCAATTATGCTTACATTATTCCGTATGTGGAAGCCACAATACATTTCCTGTAAAAAATACAGCCAGGTGCTAGTGTGATTTTTGTGATATATTGCTGTAATCTTCCCAGGCTTTTGTTTAACTTTGTGCATCAATACTCATTCGGAAAATTGGTTTCTAGTTTTCTTTTTCCTCTGTTTTTGTTCTTTCTACTTTAGGCATCAAACTTTTTTATGTCATAAAAGAAATATGATAGGATGTCTATACTTTTTTCAAAGAGTTTATATGATACTGGAATTGCATGATATTAAATCATCATTAAAAATATTGAGTACAATTTGCTTATCAATCCATCTGCTCCTGTGTTTCTTTTCTTAGCAAACTCATTTGTGGCTTGTCCAATTTCCTTTTCTAATATAAGGCTACTTAGGCATTCTATGTGCTCTTCTGCTACTCTAGGAAATTTATTTTTGTAAATATGCATTTCACTTCTGTTTTCAGTTTTATTGGCATATAGTACAGTAAAATAGCTCCAAATACATGCTTTAATTTCATCTTCACTGGTTTACCCTTTGCTTTCTTGACACTGGCAAACTGTTTTGAGAAATGAAATTATTCATTGGTTTATATATTTTTAAAATAAAACCAGCTCCTAGTTTTATTTACTAGTCCAACGGTTTCTTCACATTCAATTTTATTAATCCTACATTAGATTTTCATAATTTCCATTTCAGTGTTTAATTTGGGATATTTAATTTCTTTTAGGTTTTTTTTTTTAGTTGCAGGCTAAATTTATTATTCTGCTCTTTCTCTCTCTTTTACTCATCGAAAAATTTAGAGATATAAAACTTCCAGTAACTGCTGTTTTGGCTGCATCCCATATATTTTGGTATGTTTTCTCACTTCTGTCACATCTTGAATGAAATCAACTGTTTTTACCATTTCTTCTTTGCCAACTCATATTTTAGGATTAATTTACCTAGGCTCCAGTTAATTGTTCATTCATGCTTCAAATTTTGTTAAAAATAATTTTTATCATATTATGGTTTGGAAAAGGTCCATTTACTATTTCTGCTTTTGTTGGATGGATTTTAAGGTTTTTAGTTCCTAATAACATGGTTAGTTTTAGGGAAGGTGCCATGTACAACAGAGAAACAGGCATTATCCTTTACATTCTCATTTAATATTCTCCAGAGGTCTATCATGTATAAATATTCTATAATTCTATTCAACTCCTTAACTTGTCTCTTGTTTATCTAATGGTTACATTTATCTAGGTCTGAAAAGGGTAAATTGAGGTCCCCCACTAACATAATTTTACTGTCTATTTTCTACTGAAACACATTTAACTTTTCATGTAAAAATACTATACCACGTGGTGCATATATGTTTCTATTGATATTCATGGTATCTTTTGGCAAAATGTACTTGCCTTGATTATTTTTTTTAATCAAATTGATCATTACTTTTGCTTTGCCTGAGATCATGACTGCTAACTCTGTTTGTTTTGTTATGTTTTTTCATTTTACCTCAAGCAAAATACATCCTGCATGTATCTTTGTGTTTCAGGTGCATCTCTTGGAAACGATATCTTTTCAGATTCTTGTTTCTAATCCATTCTTCTATTACTTCTGTTTAAGAGTGAGTTCATCCCATTCACATTCAAAGATTGCAAACTGGGTATTTCCTTCCATTCAATAATCTTCTATTTAACCTTCACTCTTTGTATTTACCCTGTCCCTTCCTTAAATGTCAGATTTGTTTCTGACCACTGCCTCCCTCTTATTACCCATCCCTTTTTCTTTGCCCTTTCTCCCCTGAATTGTCTGTTAGGTAAGACAGATTTCCATATCCTACTGATTGTGTATATATATTTTTTCCTCTTTGAACCAGTTCAGATAAAAGGTTCAAGAGATGTCTGGTCACCCTCTCCCCATTTGCCCCTACATTTTAACAACTCTTCCTTGTGTGCCTTTGTGATAAGATAAAGTTCCCCATTTCTGATTTTGATCCAGAAAAACAAAAGGCCAAGAACTTCAACAGAATCAATGGGAAAAAAAATGTGAAGGTGCCATAGCATTATTGCATTTCATATTGTATTAGAAAACAGTAATCATCAAAATAATTAGGTACTGGGGCAACTGGGTGGCACACTGGATAGAGCACTGGCCCTAGAGTCAGGAGGACCTGAGTTCAAATCCAGCCTCAGACTCATCACACTTACTAGCTGTGTGACTCTGGGCAAGTCACTTAACCCCAATTGCCTCACCAAAAAACAAAACAAAATAATTAGGTACTGACTAAGAAACACAGTGGCAGATCAATGGAATAGATTAGTTCCACAATACACAGTAGTAAATGACGGTGTTAATCTATTGTTAGATAAATCCAAACATGGATTTATTGGGACCAGGACTCACTATTTGACAAAATTGGTGGGAAAACTGGAAAGCAGGTTGGCAGAAACTAGGTAGTGACCAACATTTCACATACCATATACAAAGATATAGTCAAAATGGGTACACGATTTGGACATCAAGGGTCATACCATGGGTAAATTAGAGGAGCATGGAAAATTTACGTGTTAGATCTCTGAATACGGGAAGAATTTGTGTCCCAATAAGAGATACAGAGCATCATAGAATATAAAATGGATCCTTTTGATTACATTAAAGTTTTTGCACAAACAAAATGAATGCAGCCAAGATTAGAAGGAGAGCAGGAAACTCAGAAAACTATTTTATAGCAAGTTTCTGTGATAAAGACCTCACTTCTCAAATACATACAGTAAAAAATTCAGAACAAATCATTCCCCAATTGATAATTCTGAAAGGATATGTGAACAGGCAGTTTCTAAAAGAAGAACTCATAGTTATCTTTGGTCGTATGAAAACATGCTCTAAATCACTAATGATTAGAGAAATACAAATTAAAACAACTCAGAGTTACTACTTCATACCTATCAGATTGGCTTATATGACGGAAAAGGAAAACAACAAAGGCTGATGGGAGGAGAATGATGAAAAATTGGGATACTAATTGACTGTTGGTGGAATTATGAACTGCTGCAATCATTCTGGAGAATAATTGGGAATTGTTCCCAAAGGGCTCTCAAACTTTGCATACCTTTTGACCCAGCAATACTATTGCTAAGTCTGTGTCACAAAGACATCAAGGAAAATAAAAAGAACTAATATGTACAAAAATATTGGTAGCAGTTCTTTTTCTGGAGGCAAAGAATTTGAAATCAAGGAGATGCCCAACCATTGGGAACTGGCCAAACACGTTGTGGTATACGATTGTGATGGAATACTGCTCTGTTAGAAGACATGATGAGCAGGATGGCTTCAGAACAAGCTGGGAAAACTTCTATGAACTGATGCAAAGTGAAGTGCGCAGAACCAGAACATCATGCACAATAACAGCAATGATGTACAATGATCACTGTGAAGGACTTCGCTGTTCCCAACAATGGAGTCATCTAAGACGGTTCTGAGGGATTTATGATGAAAAATGCTATTCATATCCTGAGAAAGAACTGACTGACTGACTCTGAATGCAGATTTAGGCATGTTTATTTTATTTTGATGGGGGGGGGGTTTTGTCTGTTTTCTTGTGATATTGGGCCTCAGAGCTGTGAGCTGAAGATTGTAAGTTCACTTGCCTAATCGCAGGAAGCTAACTGGAGGACATCCACCCCATGGTGACCAAGCTCAGCATGGTGGAGGTAACTCAATTATATGGAAAGTTCCCCAGCTACTTGTGTTGCCCCTTTGGCCCTTGTCACCCCTCTATTGCCCCATATGGAGGGATGACCATGAGCACTGGACCAACCAGTAGCCCTGGTTGCCAGCCTGTGGCTTGCCTTTCTACCAGTCTATGGGTGTGGTCATCAGAACCTCCTGAGAGGTCAAGCTAGGTCCATCAAGGTCTGCTCATTAGTCCATTTGTCAAGCAGTGGGATTCTGTGTTTTCTGTAGATCCTCCTGGAGGGTCAAGGGGAGGGTGTATCAACCAGTGAGGCTGTGTTTTAGTTTTCCCTCATCTGTATTGTCTGGGAATGAAGCACTATACAACTAAAGCCCTGCGGGAAGGGCCTGCTTCACATTGTGAGGAAGAGCTAAGGTCCATTTCCTGACAGGGCACCACAGACCCTTTAATAAAGGGCCACTGGCTCAGAGCTCTGCCTCCATTTCTTTTACTGTATGTTGGACAATTTTATGCCTCATAACATATGCTGGAAATAAAAAGCAAAGAAACACCAAATTCTTACACTAAGCAGAGTCAAGCAATACAAGTTCCCACATTGACTACACCCCAAAATGCAAGTCTCACCCTTCTCCTTAGTCCATGACCTCTCTCACAAGGTAAGCAGCATTCCTGGTTATTGATATGCTAAAATCATGGTTGATCACTGTGTTGAGTTGGAAGTTCTTCAGAATGCCTTGTGTATTACAACATTGATGGCATAGCATAAATTCTCCTCATTCATCTCTGTATCACCCACATATAAGTTTTCCCTGGGTTTCTTTAGAACTGTCTCTTCATTTTTCAAAAACCAAAATAATATTCTATTGTATTAATATACCATAATTTTTCTGTCTTTCCCCAACTGAAATACACCTCCTTTGTTTTCCAGTTCTTTGTCACTACAAAAAGAAATGATATAAATATTGTTGATGTGTGTGTCTTTTCTCTCTTTGATCTCTCTGGGATACAGTCCTGATGAAAGACCAAAGGTTATATACAGGGTAGTACTTTCTTGAGCATAGTTACAAATTGCTTTCCATAGCAACTGGAGCAATTTACAATTCTCCCAATAGTGCGTCAATGTGTCTGCTTTCCCACATCCAAAAAATGGGATGGGTATTTCCTGTTCTGTTAATCTGAACATTTTACTTCTTACAAGTATTCATCCATTAAAGTTGTTGGTTTTGTTGTCATAAATTGAACAAAATAGTTTCTAAAAATATTCTTTATTTCTTCATTGATTTTCATTTTTCATTTTTTTTTACTTTGATACTGGCAATTTGGTTTACCATTTTCTTTTCAGTCAAATTAGCTAGTGATTCATGTGTTATTTTGTTTTGTTTTCAAAAAGCCATAACTCCAAGTTTTAACACAGCAATGTGTTTTTACTTTCAGTTTTCTTGATCTTTTTTTATATTTAGATTTTCAATTTTGTTGTTTTTATTTTAAGATAAAATTACAAAAATATAATTAAAAAACCCATGAGTTATGAATAACTGAAAAAAAGTTGAACATATTATTTATCAGACTTATGGATAGGTGAACAATTTATAAATTAACAAGAGATAGTAAAGTCAGGTATAAAATGGATATTTTTTATTACATTATATTAAAAAAGGTTCTATATAAATAAAAGAAAAACAGCCAAGATTAGAAGCAAAGCAGAAAATTGGGGGAAAATTTTTACACACAGTCTATTAAAGGTCTCATATCTAAAATATATAAAGAACTTTGTCAAACGTATAAGAATAAGAATCATTCCCCAATTAATAAATGGTCACAGGATATGAACAGCAGTTTTCCAAAGAAGAAATCAAAACAATTTATAGTCATATGAAAATAATCTAAATCATTACAGTTTAGAGAAGTGTCAATTAAAACAAACTAGAGATATCACTTTACACCTAACAGATTAGCTAAAATGATAGATGGGGAAAGTGACAAATGTTGGAGGGGATGAGGAAAAACTAGGACACCAATTCTGTCTGTGTGATTGTAAAATGATCCAACTATTTTGGAGAGCAATCTGGAACTATGCCCAAATAACCCAGCAATACCACCACATGGTCTATTTACAAAGATAATTAGGAAAAAAGGAAAAGAACCACATGTTTATAACAGTTGTGTTTCTGGTGGGTAAGAACTGGCTATTGTAAGGATGCCCATTTATCAGGCATTGTGGTATATGATTGTGATGAAATACTACTGTGGTAGAAGAATGATGAGCTACATGATTTTAGAAATAATGAAAGATTTGCATGAAATAATGAAAGTGAAAAAATGAGCAGAGCCAAGAGAATATTGTACATAGTAGCACTGTATTAAGAACAACTTTGGGTGAAAAACTTATTTCATCTATTACATATGAAGAAAGACGCTACCTCCATCCAGAGAAAGAACTGATAAGCTAAGATATGTAGAGAATAATTTTCATATATGAACATACATTATATAAACACACACCTAATTTGTGTCCAATGGTAAGCATCTTTAGAGTGGAAGAGGGATGGGAAGAAAAAGATCTTTACATGATAATTTTATTGTTTATTTGAAAGGAATAGCAAGTTGTACATAGAACATTTGCAGTTTTATGTAAAATAAATCTTTTTCATTATACTGCATGATGGAAATGCTTGTTTTATTCCATAAATTAAAAATAAAATTTTCAAAAAAATTACCCCTTCCAATAGTAGAGAAGATAGAGATCATTATGAACTGTCAGGTAAAGTTATTATCACTGATATTTTTGTGCGACTACGTTTTTGGTATAAAAGAGGATTAAATTTTGGAGGGTGAAGGAAAGAAGCCTTTGCCTTGAAATGTCTGTGATGAAATAGCACAAAGCCTTATAGAAAAAATAAGAAACGTTTCTAATTGTTCTCTAAAAATAACAAATATATTGTTGGGTTTTTTTAATGGGGAGAAGATAAATCAGTCTCTATGGTATCTTGCAGCTCTAAATATGATTCTCTGATGCCCACAATTTCTAGTGTTACAGCACAGGAGAAAGAAACCTGTCCCATGGTCTCTGGCCTGAGACAACATTTCAGGAAAGCAGTCAGTGGCACTCACCTTCCTGAGCCTGGCTGTCAGGGAAGAAGCCATTCCCTCTTCCTCCAGGTTGTCCTCCTGTGGCAGAGCAGAGGCCACAGAAGGTAGAGCTGGGGAGGAAAGGAGAAGCAGGAGAGTGAGGGGTCATGCGGGGGGGGGTCTGCCCTTTTCAGACCAGACGTTCCCACTTCTCCCCACAGAAAGATCAATGTGCATCAATGTGTCTGCTTTCCCACTCGATTTTTGTCAACTTAAAAAAATAGGATGGGTATTTCCTGTTCTGTTAATCTGGACATTTTACTTCTTACAAGTATTCACCCATTTCATTTAAGTTGTTGGTTTTGTTGTCATAAAATTGAACAAAATAGTTTCTAAAAATATTCTTTATTTCTTCATTGTTATTTTTTCTTTTTTTTTTTACTTTGATACTGGCAATTTGGTTTACTGTTTTCTTTTCAGTCAAATTAGCTAATGATTCATGTATTATTTTGTTTTCAAAAAGCCATAACTCCAAGTTTTAACATATCAATGTGTTTTTATTTTCAGTTTTCTTGATCTCTTCTTTTATATTTAAATTTTCAACTTTGTTGTTTTTATTTTAAGATAAAATTTTATCCCCTCCTTCATTAACATTGAAAACAATTTTAACTTTGTATTTTTAAAGTTGTAGGTTCCAAATTCTATCTCTCCCTCCCCTCACTCCTCTCTGAGATGGTCAATAATTTTATATAAGTTATACACGTGCAATCACATAAACATATTTCCATATTATTCATTTTGTGGAAGAAAGCAGAAGGAAGAAAGGAAAGAAGGACCCTTCATCAGTTCTTTCTCTAGTAGTGGATAGTACTTTTCATCATAAGTCCTTTGGGATTATCTTGGATCAGTGTATTATGGAGAACTGCTAAGTCATTCACAGTTGTTCATTATAAAATATTTGCTCTTACTCTATACAATGTTCTCTTGGTTCTGCTCACTTCACCTCTCATCCGCTCATGTAAATCTTTCCAGGTTTTTCTGAAATCATCCTGCTTCTCATTTCTTATACCACACTAATAATCCATTGTGATCATATACCAAAACTTGTCCAGCCATTCTCAAACTGAGATGCATTCCCTCATTTTCCAATTCCCTGCCACCAGAAGAAGAGCTGCTATAAATATTTTTGCAAAAGTAGATCTCCCCCCCCCCTTTTTTCTCTTTGGGCTACAGAACTAGTAGTGGTTGCTGAGTATGAACAGTTTTATCCCCTTTGGGCACAGCTCCAAATTGTTCAACAGAAAAGTTGAAATGTATAATTTAAAACAAATTGCTTTTCTGGAGGGGAGAGAAGGAATTTGGGACTCAATTTTTTTTTTTTAAATGGAGGGGTAGACCCAAGATGGCACAGTAAAGGCAGGGACTTGCCTGAGCTCTCCCCAAAGTGCATCCCTAAAATTAACAAAGATGCTAAAAGATGTAAAAACCTCAGTGTTGAATGAGCTGTAGGAAGACAGGTACACTAATCCACTGCTGGAAACGCCTTGGATCAATCCAATATTTCAGGGAAACAATAAAGGGGAGGGAGGAAATAAGCATTTATACAGCTCCTGTTATGTGCTAGGAACTGTGCTAAGAGCTTCAAATATACCATCTCATTTGGCCCTCACAACAACCCTGAGTAGAAGGTGCTTCTGTTAAGCCCATTTTGTAGACTAAAAACCAAATCAAATCAGTCAGATGGTGAAATCACCGATCCACTCAAAATTTATTGTGCTATTAGAAAGGACAGATTCCCTTTTCTTTTTATTGTTAATGTACCCTCCTCACCAGGTAAAAGAAGTGTGCACAGGAATGTGCTAAATAGACCACAAGCTTATAAACAAATAAAAATAATAATAGCTGACATGGATATAATGCCTAATATATACCAGGCATTATCCTAAGCACTCTACAATGAATATCTCATTTTATCCTCACACCCACCGTGGGAGATATGTGTTTTTAACATTTCCATTTTATAGATGAGGAAGCTGAGGCAGAGATGAAGCAACATGCCCTTGGTCACCCACCTAGTGCAATTTTCTAAGCCTGGATTTGAAATCGGGTCTTCCTGGCTGCAGATGTGATCCTCTGTTCACTGTACCAACATGCCTAGTAGATATGGCCACTTTTCCCCAAGGACCACAGCCCTCCATACCTCCCTCTGTGAGTTCCAGGTAATTTGGTGAATGGTGGTGGAATTAATTCCAGCTGGGCTAGGTCTGGGTCATAGAATCCTGGCCTGCAACCACTCCTTGTTTGGTCACAGGGAGCATACATAGGGAAAGGATCTTCTTTTGAATATAAGCAGAAACCTATAAACCATAAGAAAGATGGATTGAGTATGTGAGATTGGCCCTGTCAATACATATCTCTGGCTTCATTTTCTTCATTTGTAAAAACAAATGCTTTGAGGGCATCTTCATTTGTGAGCCATTCTAAATCCTCTGATCTTGAGTGAAGGGAATACTTGGAGGAAGGAACTATGGCATCTTTTATGTTCTAGATGACAAGGAAAACTGGGACAAGTTGGAAGAGAGGTTAAGGTGATAGATGCTAATCCACTGTACTCTGCACTCCTGGATTCAAATCACTTTCTTGTGGGTGTCTTTTATCTATATTCACATCATCCTGGATGTGTCTTACACATGTGACTATACCTCCTTGAAAGTGTCTGACCTCACATCATTCCAGAAGCTAAGCAGGGTCAGGCTTCAATAACATGTGGATGGGAGACTGCTGGAGAATATTTGTTACTGCATCTGAGAGTCAGCGTAGTACAATGCATACAGTCCTGGACTTGGAATAAGACTTATTTTTAAAACTCACCTTAGAAATTTAGTAGCTGTGTGATTCTAGGCAAGTCATTTCTTCTCTGTACGCTTCAGTTCAGTCCTCATCTATGCAATAAGGGCTTTGGTCTCAAGAAGATTTTTCAAAAATCAAGGAAAATTATGTGTTTTTCCCCAAAATCCACAGTGTGTCTCATCATGAGTTCTCTGGGGTTGTGGATGGCCATTCAGTTGATTAGAAATCTTACCGCTTTAGGGGCAGGTAGGTGGCACAGTGGATAGAGCACAGGCTCTGAAGTCAGGATGACTGAAGTTCAAATCTGGCCTCAGACTTGAGACTTACTAGCTGCATGATCCTGGGCAAGTCACTTAACCCAAACGGCCTAAAACAACAACAACAACAACAACAAAAGAAATCTTAGAGTTTTAAAATTTGTTTCTTTTTCTAGTACTATTGCTAGTTTATAATTGTTCTTTTGGCTTTTCTCACTTTACTCAGCATCAGTTCATATAAATCTTTCCATGTCTCTTTTAAATCACCTATTTCCTCATTTCTTATAGCATAAAAGTATCCCATTAAATACACATTGTACAATTTGTCATTCCCAATTTTTTTTCTTTGCTGTCACAAAAAGCACTGTTCCAAACATATATGTGTGTGTGTGTAATCCTTTTCCCTCCTTTCTTAATCTCCGTAGAATACAGGTCTAGTAGTGGGATATCTAAGCCAAAAGTCATGTACTATTTAGTAACCATGGGGAGATATTTTCAAAATTTTCTTTTTAGAATGGTTAGACCCATTCATAGCTCCTCCAATAATTCATGCATATGCTTTTCCCCTATAACCCCTCCAATTTCTTCCTGTTCCTTATTTTTTATCACCATTGTCAATCTGATGCTTCTGAGATGGAGCCTTAAAATTGCTTGAATTCGCATCCTTCAACTAGTAATAATTTGGAGTATCATATTACATGGAGATATCTATATCTATATCTATACATATAGATATAGATATTGTTTTTCCCTTGGGAAACTGATGTTCATATCCTTAGTCCATCCACAAATTGAGGAATGGTTCTCATCCCTATACATCTGAATCAATTCCTTATATATGTTGGAAGTTTTTATTAAACTGGCTAGAAAAACATCTGCCCCACCCACAAATGTTTCTCTTTCAATCTAAGCTTTATTAAATTTTTTGTACAAAACATTTAAATTTTCATAAAAATTATCCAATTCATCTTCTGTGATTCTTGTTTGGTCATGAGTTTCTCCTGTGTATGTTATAGGTAATTTTTCCACGTTGCTCTAATGTGTTTATGATGTGATCTTTTATGCCTAGATCACACACCTATTCAGAGCTTACAAGGTGGGAGCTTTTGGTCTAAAGCTCACTTCTTCCATATTACCATACAATTTTGCTAGCAATGTTTTATCAAATATTGAATCTTTGTCCCACCAAGTTGGGTCTTTGTGCTCACTGAATTCTAGTCTACTAGTTTCCTCTCTGCTGTTGGTATTCCTAATGTTCTCCTGAAGGATCTATTTTTAAACCAGGATGAAATTATTTTGAGAAATACTGCTTTGTAGTATTGTTTGAGATTTGTCACTGCTCAGTCTCCTTTGTACACATTTCCCCCCCTTCATTTTCCCTGAGATTCTTGGCTTTTCTTTCTCCATCAGAATTTTCTTATTATATTCTCTCACTTTATAAAATAACCTTCTGATAGTTTGAGTGGTGTGGCACTGAAAAAAAAATTAGTTCAAATACTGTTATCATTTTGGTAAGAAAGGCTCATCCTATCCAAGAACAAATAATAGTTTTCCAATTATTTAGGTTTGCCTTTACTTCTTTAAACATTGGTTAATAGTTTCATTCAAAAAGTTCTTATGTGTATCTTGGTAGGTAAGGTCTCAAATATTTTATATATTCTGTAGTTTTGGTAAAAGTAATTTCTTTTTCTATCTCTTCTTGCTGAGTTTTATTGGTGTGATATAGAAATGTTCATGCTTTCCGTAGACATGTATAATATTGCTAAATTTAATAATTATTTTAATTAAATTTTCATTGTCTCTCCAGGGTCTTTAAATATACTATCTTATCTGCAAAAAGTAATCATTTTGTTTCTTCTTTACCTTCGTTTACTCATTCTTTTTCTTTTCTTACTTCTACAGCCATCATATCTAGCGATAAGTAAAATACCAGAGGCAACAAGGCAAATTTACCTTTGATTTTGTTGGAGAGGAATTTAATTTATACCCACGACACAAAATGCTGACTCGTCTTTGGATGTGTGTGATGTACGTATGATTAATAGTACACCTTTTGGATATATGTGCATCCAAAAGGAACACTTTTAATCATATTAATGAAAGGTACATTTATTCATATTTCTCCATGTCCCAGAGTTCCTAAGTGGGTCCCAAATCAATCCACCTGGGTGGAAACATAAGTGAAAGTGTTCCAGGTCTGCTCTATAACACCACCTTCCCTTTTACATTACATTCAAAAGCCATGAATTATTTCAAGTTGAGAAAGAGCTGATTTGTGATGGAAGGCCTCCCACACTACTCACATTCATAAAGAATTTATCCAGTATGAATTCTCTGATACCCAGTAAGATGTGGCTTCTTCTTGAAGGCCTTCCCATATTCACTACACACATAAGGTTTTTCTCCAACATGAATTTTGGATGTCTTAAAGATCTGAATTGCAATGGAATGCTTTCCCAAACTCCTTACAAATCTCGCCAGGAGGAATTCTCTCTTTTTTTAAATATTTATTTATTTTTAGTTTTCAACATTCCCTTCCACAAGTTTTTGAGTTCCAAATTTTCACCCCATCTCCCCCCTCCCCCCACCCCAAGATGGCATGCATTCTGAATATCCCTTCCCCTACTGTTCTCTCTTCTATCTCTCTCCCCTTCTCTTATCCCCTTCCCCTTCTATTTTCCTGTAGGGCAGGATAGACTTCTGTACCCCATTACCTATATTTATTTCCCAGTAGCATGTGAAAACATTTTTTTTAACATATGTTTTTAAAACTTTAGCTTTCAAATTTTCTCTCTTGCTCCCTCCCCACCCACCTCATTGAAAAAGCAAGCAACTCAATATAAGTTGTACATGTGCAGTTATGTAAAACAGGTCCATAGTAGACATGTTGTGAAAAACTAACTCTATTTCCCTTAATCCTATCCTGCCCTCCCATTTATTCTATTCTTTCTTTGGGCCCTGTCTTTCCTCAGAAGTATTTACTTCTGATTAACCCCTTTCCCAATCTGCCCTCCTGTCTATCATCCCTCTGCTCTCTTGTCCCCTTTCCTCACCTATTTTCCTGTAGGGTAAGACAGATTTCCATACCCAATTGAATGTGTATGTTATTCCCTCCTTAAGCCAAATCCTATGAGAATAAGATTCACTCATTCCCTCTCACCTTCCCCCATTTCCCCTCCACTGCAAGAGACTTTTCTGTTGTTTTTTTTTTGAGATAATTTACCCCATTCTACCTCTCCCTTCCTTCTTCTCCAAATATAATCCTCTCTCATCCCTTCATTTTATTCTCCAGATATGACCCCTTAATCTTCAACTCACCCTGTGCCCTCTGTCTATCTATCTACATATACATACATATAATTTTTTTCCTCCAACTACCCTGATACTGACAAAGGTCTCATGAGTTATAAATATCATCTTTCCATGCAGGAATGTAAACAGTTCCACCTTAATAAGTCTCTTATGATTTCTCTTTCCTGTTTACCTCTTCATGTTCCACTGGAGTCCTGTATTTGAAAGTCAAATATTCTATTCAGTTCTGGTCTTTTCATCAGGAATGCTTGAAAGTCCTCTATTTCACTGAATGACCATTTTGTCCCCTGAAGGATTATCCTCAGTTTTGCTGGGTAGGTGATTCTTGGTTGTAATCCTATCTCCTTTGCCCTCCAGAATATTATATTCCATGCCCAGCAGTCCTTTAATGTAGAAGCTGCTAAATCTTGTGTTATCCTGATTGTGTTCCCCCACAGTACTTGAACTGTTTCCTTCTGGCAGCTGGTAATATTTTCTCCTTGACTGGGGAACTCTGGAATTTGGCTACATTATTCCTAGGAGTTTTCCTTTGGGGATCTCTTTCAGGAGGAGATCTGTGGATTCTTTCGATTTCTATTTTGCCCTCTGGTTCTAATATATCAGGGCAGTTTTCCTTGATAACTTCTTAAAAGATGGTGTCTAGGCTCTTTTTTTGATCATGGCTTTCAGATAGTCCAATAAGTTTTAAATTCTCTCTCCTGGATCTATTTTCCAGGTCAGTTGTTTTTCCAATGAGATATTTCACACTGTTTTCTAATTTTTCATTCTTTTGGATTTGTTCTACTGTGTCGTGATTTCTCACAAAGTCACTATCTTCCAATTGCTCTATTCTAATTTTTAAGGAAGTATTTTCTTCAGTAAGCTTTTGGACTTCTTTTTCCATCTGGCCAATTTTGCTTTTTAGGGCATTTTTCTCCTCATTGGCTTTTTGGACCTCTTTTGCCATTTGGGTTAGGCTATTTTTTAAGGTGTTATTTTCTTTAGTGTTTTTTGGGGTCTCCTTTAGCATCACTCTCAGTTTTTCCTCTACTTTTCTAACTTGCTTCTCAAAATCGTTTTTGAGCTCTTCCATGGCCTGGGACCAATTCATATTTTTCTTGGAGGCTTTGGATGTAGGGGCTTTGACTTTGTTGTCTTCTTCTGGTTGTATATTTTGATCTTCTTTGTCACCAAAGTAAGATAATATAGTCTGACTCTTTTTGCTCTGCTTGCTCATGATCCCGGCTAATTACTTGAGTTTTAAACTCTTTGTTAAGGTACAAATCTGCTTCCAATGTGGAGAATGTACTTTCCCAAGCTTTGGGGATTTGAACAGCTGTTTTCAGAGATACTTGTAGGGCCCTGTAAATTTTCAGTTCTTCCAAGGTGGTATGATAAGGGGCGAGGTGTTAACTCCTTTCCTGCCCTGTGACTACAAGTACTCCTTTCTGTCCTGTAACTGTGAGGAGGGGGCTCCTCTCTACAACCACTACAAGCTCCACCAAGCCAGCGTTCCTCCTCACCCCAGTACCACTGCCCAGAACTGTGGCCCAGATCCAAACACAGACAAAGCAAGAGACTCCTGCCTCAGCACTGGCAAAGAGATCCCTGCAATCCCTCTCTGATCAGCCACTGGATTCCCCCTCAGTCTGTGGGCCGCAGCTGCCCCCCCCACAGGGCCACACTCTTGGGGAATGGAGCTGAAACCCCGCCTTCCTTTCTCAGCACTGACACAGACTTTTCCCACTGACCTT